GCAAGTCAATAATGTTAATAATGTTTAAACATCGATAACAATTGCGATGGTGTGGCGAACTATCGATAAAAAAGTTTCGACAGTTTCTATACCTCTAACATTTTGAAATCTTTGGAAAATAAAGGTACCTTTTTTTATCCATCTCTGATTCTTAAGGTGACAAAAACGGTAACAAAGAAACTTAAGAAAATCTACCTCCCTACTACAGCTATATAGTATAATAACTAGTAATAAAAATTACAACTAAAAATATGATAATATAATAACCACTAACTCATAACTCATATGTAAATATTTGCAGCATACACTAGAAAATTACAGATTGCCGCCGTAAAAAGTTTCAATAAAGCTATGTGCAAGAGTTCTACCGCTTAGACATACATTGGATAAAGGCCCTGGAAAAACGCTTGGTGCGCATCTTAGGTTGAGCAAGTTCACGCTGGTTTCTAAGATTATACCTGGTAACATTCTTTGGTGGAAGTAGAGGGTGCAGCTTATGCACAGAATCAGATGCAACTAATTCAAATAGTTTGTTGCAATGTTTAATGAGTCTGTCCTTAAGAGAACTCGTGATATACAATGGGAGGTGTCAGCATATGGAAGGCTGGGAGATATTATTAAGAACGTGCGCTTCTGAATGCGCTCCAAGTCGTCGCTTAGACACGCAAGCGATGCATAGTGGTATAAGAGTGTGCAGCAACTAATACCGGCCTAATGCAGGTATGATCGAAACTGATAATATCAAGGGGCGGGACCTTTGCGCACTTAAGCAAAACAGGGAAAAACATTCGCTTATTGGCCTTCTTGATTACATGAGAAATGTGACAATTCCATTGAAGGGTACTCTAGATATAGTTATCCCTAATACTTTGAATAAGGTGTATTTGTTTAAGGATCATCATTCATTCGAGACGCTGTGACAAACACTCGACACAGTGTTTAACGGCGATAACGAAAACCTTGGGGTAGGTTTATTTCAATGAACTCGATCGGATACGCCTCTTCTTGTAACGAAAAAAAAGTTAAGAGAGAACTAACACATGTTAACACACTCCAGCTTGTGTTTGTTATATTGTACTTCAAAATGACCAGTTTAACCCATGAACGACCCCACACTGATTTTAGCCTTAAGTCTAGTGGTCTTAAAATAAAGATTACTTACACAATACATAGAGGGAGGCGTCAAGAGGACACTCGAGGACACTTGATCGTATGAATTAGATACAACTCGGTTCATAGCGGGATATAGAATGGCCACTTCAGTATATGTCTATATGGAATACTTCAAGCTCTCCAAAATGCCAACAGTTTTGAACAATTATTGCACCGACATTACACAGGAAGAGATATAACGATTTTGAAAGTGAGAGAGTGGGTAATAAACTCCATAATTAAAGTTAAAAAAGTCACCAAAAGGTTCACATTTGCTCCTTATCCTTGTATTTTTTTTCAACAATCTGCAGACAATAACTTTTTTTTTTAGCAAAACTACGCGATAAAGAAGTATAGAACTTTGGGAGAATATTGAACCTACGTGATACAGAAATATAGAACCTTGGGAAAAGATTGAACTGCAGGTGTCTAATTATAGGCTTGTGAAAAAATGTCTGTTGAACAATCTCGTTGCGCCAGTAGGCGCATAAGGACGTCTGTTGGACAATTGTAGTCCATTAACATTAGTTCTGCAATTCTAACATCCCTTCTAAGCTCAATATGACACTAAAGCTTAGCGTCGCGATTTACTTACTGACTTGTACTCTGTTTACGTACAGATCAAAAATAAGATGTAGGCAGCCCTCGTGGTATCTGCCTCAGCTTCAGCCATTGCAGTTATAAAGTAAGGAGCTTCATCAGTGTTCAAATGCGTTAATTGTCTATATTATTACAATATTCAAATCTTGGAGAAGGTTATTGCAAAAAAAAAGGAGAAAAAAATGAATGGAACTTTTTTATGGTTCCGACATTGCATAACCGCCGATGACAATAAAGTAGGTTGTAGTGAAATCTCACGAAAAGGTTCTCGGCCGGATTCTTATCAATTCTTTTTTGAAAAGGCTTCAAACCGACAGGTAATATAAATTTTGTAATTCGTATTAAGCTACAATCAAAGGTCGCCCAACAAACTAAAACATATGCGTGGTTACGTAATAGCGCTACTTTAAACTGCAGCTTATAACCCCTGGGCTAATACGTCTTCACAAGGGGTTTTAAGTGGACTTATAAACGGAGCGGCTTATATCCGAGGGGGGCTTATTTCCGGAAAAGAAAAAGTGCTTCGAAACAAGCGGGAGTAGTGCTGATCAAAGTACTTTTTGTGTTAACTGGTTTTTAATCAAGCTTCAAAACTTGATATCAAATCGAATCATTTCAATAGATTTTTGAGGGGGATTATATCCAGGTGGTGTGCTTATAATCGGAAGTCACGATTTTCTACGGTAGATGGCGGGTTTATAATTGGGAGGTAGAGCTTACAAGTGGGGCGCTTATAAGCGGCAGTTTACAGTTTGCATTTTCTATTTTGCTCTGTACTGTTGGTACAGCTATAGACTATGATTACAAGTGTCTTGTGCGTACTCTATGTTTATAGTTATAGTATACAAATTACTTCACGGCTTTGTTGATTTTAAGTCCTCGCTTAATCTGCGAATACCCTGATAATGAAGTCATGTCTCGATCTGTGGCGTCAATTAATCTGAACCGGTTGTAACTATGTAGCTTAGTTATGCAGAGAGCCCTAAGACCCGCTAAAAACACAGAGAATCCCAAAACGGCAAACTGCTCCTTGCGGCAAGGCGATGAAGAAGTAAACGAAAGAAGAAAACAAAAGATGTACATTTTTTTAACAAATTTGCTAAACATTTGTTGAAAATATATATATCGCCTTGACGTAAGGATCAGTTTGCCGTTTTATGATTTTCCGCAAGTTATTGCTGTACTGATCCAGGCCTACAACTGGGAGATACGGCACCACTCAATAGTTTCTCACTATGGACTTGCTGATATTTTATATTTTCGTAAAAACGCAGAGGCCCGGGTTGCATATGGATGCATTGAAAAGTGTTTAAGTTAGAAATGATTATGATAGACCACTTTTGATACATTGATAATAAAGTTCATAATTGGTTCTGAGTCTTATGGGAACAAAACAAAAGAAATGTATTATTCATTGGGGCTGAGCCCCATGTAAAATGATACTTCGTCGGCGCATGCGCATTAAGCAATTTTGGGATTTTGTATTCTCGCTTTAGGACGATGCTCTCTCAAAAAACTCAAGTAATGTCATTTTAATCGTCAACATAACGGAAACTATGGCATTTAGGCCTGTTTAGCGTGCTTGTATGTTTTATTTTTTTAAATGTATAGGTCATATGCAGTAATAGTCTAGAGAACTGTTTCATTCAAACTTCGTTTTATTCCCGTGCATAAGTACGCATGATTTAAAAAATACGAAGGGGCAAATTCCCCGGAGACTTTTATTGGAAAAACAAAACATACAAGCTAAAGAGGTCCATTATAAAGTAAGACGAGGTTAAGTTAAGTATTCGTGTCGGGATGGGTACAAGTTACGAAACTCACTTAGACGTCAATGCAACAAATAAGTATGCAACCTCTATGTAGGTTTGTTTTCAAACCACCGTCAAAGCCCGATCTGTAGTACAAACCCCTGGCCGAGAACGGAGTTGAGCCAAGATATCTAGTTGGCATAAATCTGACGATGTCTAGAAAACCGACTTCATTAACTTTCCCACCAACAGTTTATTGACTGAACAAACAAAATACATCAGTGCCAAATAAAATTAGAATCAATCGCGTTTAAAAGCGATATCGTCGCCTGTGTATTTAGCAATTGAGGAACACCCAACGACCGTTGTCTGTAATCAGCCAAGAATGACTACTCCATATATTTAAGATTTTGGAAAACTAGGTTTTCACATGTACTTCCTATAGATTCGGCCATTATTCGTATGAAATGATGACCTCCTGCAATTTCGGTTTCAAAAACAGTGTGACGTAAATTGGTATCAGAAAGATTTCACTGTCTCACCTTTTTAAGGTTTAGTCGTAAGGAAAACTTCTTCAAGAATCCAAGATTGAAACATTAAGGGTAAGCCTAGTAAATTAGACAAGGCGGCCTAAAAGCTTACCATCTGATGACCGAAAAGATAAATAAAAAGTTTTAGCGCTTAGGCACCCTTTATATGGAGAAAAGGTGTCCCAGGTGCAAGGGTCACTTGCCTACCCGACTGGCGAGCTACCCTGATGGACGAGCCAACTAACTTTTCATACATCTCGCTACAAAACGTGGCGAAACACTTTACATGTTTCGGCTAGAAGGGACGGACCCACCTACCTTGGCCAACATTATGTGACTGATGGTAGTAGGACCAACCTCTAAGCCGGGCTAACATTTCTCTATGTATACTAAATACTTTGGCTTGCCTTCCCGGGTCAACTCGGTCTTAACGGGACAATCAGAGCATGTGGGAGCGTTGTTAGTTCGGACAAAGGGATCAACTTCCTATTTCGCATATAAGCGTTCGCTAAAGTTGATTCGGCTGGGAGAGTGACCCTAGGTTGCCTGGAAAATGAGGTTCTCTAGATATAAACGGGACCATAGAATGCATTTTCCGAACATTAAAAACGCTCTAACAGGCTATTCATAGAATCAATTTGGTAAAGCAGTCGTTGGCTGCTCCTGGCAATTTGTGGTTTCCTTTTAGTACAATTTCAAAAAAAAAATTGTCTTATGGTTGCTTTTAGATACAGTCAAACCCCACTTTACGGACACGTCATTATTACGGACAGTTTTCTTTGTCCCTGGGGAAAGAAAGCCCCTAGCTTTAATTTCCCTAAATTTAACCCGTTTAATACGAACATCCCGTTAGTATAGCTGGTCTATCTGTGCCACCTTAGTGTCCGTATTAACGGGGTTTGACTGAGCAAATGTTAAAGTGCCTGTTTATGTTTACCATTATAATTTCTTCATCTGTGAGTTGATACTAATCGTTATTTATGACGGAGTAAACAGTGCGGTCATTTAGTGGTTGGACTGGTCTGTAGTTGTCGCACATCAGAGGAGGATTTCTGCCATGTTCACCCTTAAGTTTCCTGAACTTGTTAAGCTGAAACACACAAAAAATATGTCAAGTAAGGAAACTTACAACCCATCATCTGATTTAAGGTATTGCGATAGAGTTTTTGAGAGACCATACCAATGTTTTTCAATCACCTTTTAAACCTCATTACATAATCTTCATGATGTATATAACAATATCTGAAACTTTCATTAAGATTGATTCACTGCAACACCTTCTTGAAATTTTAAGAGAATCCTAGCCACTGCCTAGCCTACGAACCGGCACATGGGTCCTCTACCAGGAAGTGCGGTTATTAAATGCGATAGCCCAATCCTATCGCGTACTCTCCCTTTTAAATGCTGTCTAAGTCAGACTTAATCAACTACCATCCAGCTGGGGTAAAACTCAGCCCTTCCTGTTTACGCCATTGAGATTACAGTGGACTGTTCAAAGTCCCCTATTTTTTCGTAAGATCGTCAGATTTATAGCATGGTCAGCAAGTACCGCAACTACAAGCCATCTTGATTTCACTGCGGGCGTCGGGGTTTATATAGATTTGATACTCATTCCCAGGCTAGACGCCAAATATTAGAAACCAAGATGACTGCCTATAAAGCAAAGTGCTCGATCTCAACGATCTCACCGAAAAATAGGGGACCGTGGACAGTCCGGGTCATCGTCTGGGAATTGCCCCTGTGGCAGCCTGCTTAGGAGACCTAATTTAACCTCGGTTAGTAACGTCTGCAAAGAAGGGCCGATTTCCTTGTTCTGGGGCCCCAACGGACTCAACGAATTACTGGAAATACGTTTCGAATTTCCTTTCATGCTGATCGGAAAACTGACAATGGCTTTTTCAAGAGGCCAATCATGGCACGTACTCAAATCCTGGTACACAGGTGGGGGCCCAGAACAAGGATTTCCGCGCTGTTTCGCAGACAGACTTAAACAGAGTTTAGTTTCGTCTGTGGCGCAGGGTACCTCATTGAACTCTGCCCTTAACGATGTCCTGACTCTCGAAATGACCACATCCGATCGCGAATGGCTCTCTCGTCCCAACCTCCTTCTGATACCGGTAAAACGCGCTACGACGACACAATTGCAACCCCATCCCGTTTCCAACGTAAGTCCGGCAGATCTCTTCCCATTTAATAAAACGAAGACCGGTCATGCTATTCTGACATCGACGGTCTTAACCAGATGTAGTCTCGTATCTTAGTTTACCTGTAGAGTGTCCACTCTTAATTGTAAACTAAAAGCTCTCTTTAGACCATGTCAGTTATTTAAGTTAGTGCATGAGCATTACATACCTGCCTGGTAGAGGCCAGGAGATAATCTTTCACAACTATCCAGTGTACTGTTTCAAGGCAAGGAGGCGTAGTGAGGGAACCCTCGTAACTGTAGTAACATTCTAAAGTCAAACTTTTGGAGTCCTTTTTGTTATTATTATTGCCATTGCCATTACCACCATTGCCATTACCATTACCGTTACCACCATTTCCATTGCCATTACCATTACCATTTCCATTACCATTACCATTACCATTGCCGTTACCATTGCCATTACCATTGCCATTGCCATTACCATTACCATTACCATTACCATTACCACCATTGCCATTACCATTGCCATTACCGTTTGGACAATGTTGGGGAATCAGATCCATAAGATAAATTCCATCCTTCTTGTCCACAGTATGAGTATTATCTGTAAAATAAGGTGACGTTGAATTGTTTCCTTAAGCGTTCAAACAGCTGAGCCGAGCATCTTTCATCCAGTGAAAGATCTGACCCAGGAGCGCTCTTGCGGATACATGACCGACATCAACAGGAGTGATTTTGGTTTCGCGCAAGGAATCATGGGAAAGGCGGAGAGGAAAATGCCCACCCTCCCCAGGGGTCTTTTGAGCCAACACTTAACGTTCCCATGGTAAACACTTGAGTCGCCTGGGAACGAGGCAGAGATCTGACGTGTTCTCAAGTTTTGCTTAAAAGTTCTTTTGGCAAATTTGAGCTCTTCAAAGTAACCCAAAAAGTAGCTCAATAATTTTCATTTGTTATTTCACTTTCTGTACTTAAAAACTATTTTCATTGTCATTTTTTGGCCATTCTTTAACGTGGTAAGATAACAATAATGAAAATTGTGCTTAAAATTAAAATTATATCGTGTAAGTAACGGAGGCAACGACATTCTCCGTTACTGAGCTGTGACATCAGCATTAAACCCTTTAAATCCCAAGATTAACCAACATCATCTTTCTACTAGTAATATCAACGCACAAACAACAAGAAAGATCATGAGAATCACTGAACGAAAAATTCGATTTACACATCCATGTATTTCCTCGCGACAAATAAAAATAAAGCGCAAAAAAGTGCAAACTAGGAGTAAGTCAAAGGCAAAGATCTGGTAAATACCGCATTTGCACCCCAGTTTACATAGCTTGTAAATTCAAGGGCAAATGCCGTATTTACCATTTTTGCCCTTGATTTGACTGTAGTTTGCACTTTTTTGCACCCTATTTGCACGGAGTAAATTTGGTGTAAATCGAATTCTTGGGGTTCAGTGAAAATGATTGCTAAACAGAGAGTGCGTTGATCTTTTATCAAATCTCTCGACCTATTCTTTAAAGAAATGCATGAAGATCGGTCTGGAGAATTTTTACGTGGATATTGAAGCTTAAAGGATGAAATGATTGCTGATAAACTTTGCAAGTGTAGGAAGAAGGGGGCGCGCGGGCGTTGCTGATTGCCAATCACGGCGGGGCCAAACCATCCCCCAAAGGGCTTATTAAGGCTAAATTTACTTATTTTTTACATTTCTTTTTATTTCTCGACCAAACTTTCCAGATAGACTACGATTGCTGACCAAATGATATTCAGTTTTTCTTTGACGCAAAATGTTAAATTGTGACGTCACAAAGGCTGACGTCACCAAAATGGGTTAAATGCAGTTTATAATTTCAAAGTCAAACTTATATCATTTGAAAGGGCTTTAGAAGAGGAGTAAAACAGTGAAAACCGTTTCTGGCTACGACACGTACACGTACCCGAGTTATAAGACTTCAAAGAAATTTGATTTCACCCCCCGGAACCATGCTTTTATGATCCCTCTGATATTTTCTCACAGTTTTTGGCAAAATAAGCTGATTTCCGGTGACACATACCTTTTATAGTTGGCCAAAATCGTACCATTTTAGATTTTTGTTTTTTGACTCCAAAACACTAATTTACGCAAACCAAAAAGTTGATCACGTGACATTTTATGACGTCACAAAACTGTTTTCCGGGTTTTTGCGAAGTTAGGAATTTCTTTTTTCAAATTTTTCTTTTTCCTTTAGCTTTCGACAGTAAAGATGTGATATGGGTAACTTAAACAGCAAGGGTGACACGACAATAAAACTCTGAAATTAAGACTTATTTTAAAAGGGGGGTACCCCGTTTTTGTGCCCCGAATTTATCCAAATTCAAAATGTCATATCTCAGCTCATATTTGACATGCTGAAAAAATTTTCAGCTTTCAACTTCCCTTGAATAGTTCTTTCAAAAACGATATAAAAATTTGGGAGATTCAAAAGTTTAAAATTTACGTATGAATGACGTCAGCAAATATGACGTAATAATTTTACATTTGGTGTCATCCTATGAGCAATTTTGATTTGCCTGATGTTTCGTATTTTCAGGCCAAGTTTGGTTGGGAAAGAGTGAAAGCAAGCAAAGTTATTTTAAATTATTCGAAATTGTCACGTTTTGATAAGCCATTTTAGGGTGGTTTGGCCCCACCGTGAATAAACGGAGAATAAACGCGAGAAGGGGACTCATGAGGATTTGCTCACATGTTCTTCGTGTTTGAATTTTTTATAAGTATTCTAATATACCTACCAACGTCGAGGATGTATTTCATCAGGTTTGCTAACTTTCCAAAAATTTTGTTTCCTTTGGAGGGTGCCTGTAAATAATTCAATAGATCGAACTTCCTGTGATTTGCAACATTTTGTTTATCGCCCTTCTACTTCTACACTTTTCCTAGATGCATCCAAGGATGCTAAAATATTTTTCGTTAGTGCCAATTATTGTCTTTTTAAACAATTAACTATCCCTTTTTCCTGAGATCAATTTTTAGCGGAAGGCATATTCGGTGAAAAGACCTGGAGCTAGAAAGTTTCTGTACCCACTACATTTTTTTTTATTTATAAGGACACAATAAAGGTATTTTTGCATAAATTGAAAAACCGCAATTTTAATTTTTAACCATGAAGTATTGGGCTTCATTTTTTCTGTAGTGTCATATAAACCACATTTTCTTCTAAAAAAATTTGGTTTCTTGAATCAATTTTTCTTTTGACGCTGAGTTATTCGACTAAATGAAGGCGAAACTGCGTTAGATTTGTTCACACTTACTTGTTATTACTAGGAATTAAGGAAAGGTAGCCAGAGAAGTGGGTTGTACCTTAATCCAAAGAGCTACGACTGCAAGCTCTTCTCCAGGACCATCAAATACCATATGAAGCTGGGGAAAAGAGCAAAAGCTCACCGTTATCGTAGTTTACGATGATTTTACTCCAGTAAGGGCACGCGTATATCACGTGTGTGTAGAGACTACGAGGAATTCCATTCAAACTATATTGAACTGACCTCTGGAAGGTCGTGCTCCACTCATACTTTCGCATCCCAGCATGTCACCCATTGCGAAGATAATATCTTGCAAACAAAAACTACCGTAGCTCATCTGGCCGATCACATTGCAGATGTAGACATGCTAACTGGCCAATCAGAAGTGGAAGCAAAAGCACGAGTTCGGCGCCAGGCAAGATAAAGCCTTTCTGAGGTCTAAATCACAAGACAACTGGTTTTTGCATCGCGTCTAGATAAGTTTGTGCCGCCCGACAGGGTATGGTTTTTGGGATTCTCGAATCTTAAAAAGGGTATCATTTTTGGCCGTCTTTGGTATTGTGTTCCTCGAGTGAACCTTAGGTAGTGTACCTAAATTGTGTCAGTTAAAATTCAAGTGCGTAACTGCCCAGCACGAGAAATATAAGAAATCTTCTCCGTTAAAACTGGACGATCCCTTTGAGTATTATGAAAACGATTTAATATCTATAGGTTACGTGTGTTGTTTTCAAATTCTTTGGTTTTGTTTTCTCTTGCATTCACTACCCATTCATTACCATTTTTGGGTTTGAGCCTTCAATAGCGTATAAACGTTTGTTTGTCGTATCCTTAAGTAAGGTAAGGGTTTAAGACCTTGGGCGGCACACCTATCCAAAATTTATGGGAGTTTATGGTAGCCGGAAGAAATTATGAGAAAAATACGCTTTTAATCATCATTTTTTAACAATTAGCTAGATGGAACGCCCAATTGAGAGACTGAATCCTAAGGAAATGCCTGTCTTCGAACTTCGTTATTGATTTTCAGTATAATTGCAGTAGAAAAGTGGAGCTAATGACTTCGCTCAGCTCTTAATGTTGGAAAGGTAGGCTATCGTGTCCTGGGCGATTGTTTTGACCAGCGGATTTGTGCCCCTCACAGATCGTCCAGGGCATAGCTACAAGAAAACTGAGATTTTACCGCCACTAGAGGTGTACAAAGAAAGGTTTCAAGTGGTTTTTGTTATATACTTACCTGACCAGAAAATCTTTTTCCATCAAGGGTGTGCTCAGATCCGCGATCATTTGCACAGCCAAAATGAACATGAAACTGGAGCAATTCGAAAGTTTTATCTCCTAGGGGACCCCCAGTTAGTGAAGCTCCATTGGAATCAGCAATTGTAAGTTTTGGTGAATGTCCAGTATTTTCAAGCTTTCCAGTCACCAGCCCCCTTGCGTTGTCGAAAGTGATTTTCAGAGGACTGTAACTCTCCTTCACGGTCTCACTTTTAACGATGTCAATTGGGGATTGGTGTGAATGACCACAGTCGTCAAATTTATCTTTCCAGTCTGCTGGGCCTGGCACTGTAATTAATTAGGAAACAAATTAGGAAACAAGCTTTTAAACGAATTATGCCATCGCAATTGAGTCCTTTCTGTTTGCCAAAAAATTCGATTCTCACTATGAAACATAAATTTAGCAAAGACATCATGCCTATAAGCCAAATTCATCGCTTTATGATGACGATCAGAAATGTCTCCTGGCGCGAGCATTAACACTGAAACTCACTAACAAAAATAGTCAGCTTTAAACAATGTTGGGCAAAACAGTTTTCAAATATCGGCCCAATTGCAATCCGTTTTAATCGTCTTCAATTTTATCCGCCCATCCGTCCCTTGTTACGTTTTTTTAAGTGGTAGTAAAATGTTCCCTCCACTCATCTTACGTCTATTGAAGTGTTCCTTTGGTTATTCGTGTTGGCCGGGGTGGGAGTTGCGATCAATTATGACAAGATTGGATAAGTTCATGACTCTTGTTTCTTTTCTCACAACTAGGTTTTCGATGGATTGTTAGTGAAGTACTCTCGCTGATCATTATAGCAGCTGGCAACTCAATTAAGAAATAAGACCTGGAAGAAAATAAAATCAGCCCTTTCTTTTGGTGAAAGCGCATGTAAGCAAGTCACGGTCTCGTTTCTTCTCGCTAGTTGAGAATCGATGGCGCAAGGCTTTCAATTTCAACCAAAGGCAAATAAAAATAACGAATTCCCATAACCATCATTGATTTCATATAATTTCTTTCTAGAACTTGCAATAAGTTCAGACTTAAAGAAATTTGTGATGGTTTCTCAAAATCTTATTTAATTAAGGGCCATAAACAAAATACGTTTTGCGTAAAAGACGAGTAGTTGATATCTTGCTTTCTTATTTTATTAATAGTTCATGTATAATATTACTAATTGTCTCTTATATGAGAAGGACTTTGGGTTTCTCTCTAGTACCGTGAAGGACATTAACTGAAGTGATTAATTATCATTGTTGCTTTATACCAACCATCATTCTTCGTGTCTCCATAGCCCCATTCTTCGTGTGTAGCTGAAAAAAGGTACAAAAATAACATTAAAACGTGAAAGTAGGAGAATTGAATTAGTAATCACCAATTAGGATGGTACTTTAAATCGCCCACTACTGATGCTTCGATATCCGCCTTGCATCTTATATTAATAAGTATTTCAAACTAATTAGTTATATGTTGATTAACTATAGTAGTATTGATATTTAGTATTATTTTCTTTTTAGGGCAACTTGAAAAATATTGCCAGTCTGCCGGACACTTTCTTAATACTCCTAGAAACAATATAATTAATTGCAGCAAATGTCAGGTACAAATAACTTAATTGTTGCAAGTTGTTTTTGTTTTTGTTATTGTTGTTGTCTTGTATCTTCTAAATTAATCAGTTTATTAGATACTCACTCGCGCTCAAGACGACACCAAAGGTAGTGAACAACAGGAAAAACTTCATCTGTCGTAACTGATACATTCAATTATAAACTGTTCTGAAATTTCATTATAAAAAAAAAAAAAACAGAAAACAGCATAACTAACTGAGGTAACAATACAATGTTGGAATAACAGAGGTTAAGTAGTATCTTAGTATATAAGCGAAATTGAAACAGGTCAAAGTCGATACAATTTTTTAATACAGTGGAACACCGTTAATGAAAATACTGTTTGACCATAAAATCCTGGTGAACCAGAAAAAGATCGTTAGAAAAAAAGATCGTTATAACGTTGTGGACGGTTAAGGCGCTGTGTACGACTATTTTTAAGGTCTATTTTCATGTTGAATGCGTTTGGAAAACGTTGTTGGCAACGATGTTCTGTCAGATCTATTGAGTTGAAACTTTTGAAAACATTCAAACGGTTCAAACTTCGGCCCAAAATCGTTGTCTAATTTCGACCAACCTATTGGATTCTTTTGGAAGGGGCTTTGATTTTGATAACAAAATGTTCCTTTTGGTCCGTATTTGATGACCTCTGGACGCTGAATCTGTAGCCTTCGTTGCTAAGACAGGTGCTAAGGACCCTTTCAAAAAAACTCAACAGATTTTGTTGTATTGGTTAAATGGTTTGACGATCATAAAGGTGAACCGCAAAATTCTTGAACGAGACAATTTGTCGTTGCTCTTACAAATGTAAAAATGAAAAGATGCAAGTCTCACTAACGCAAGCCTGGCCTGATTACTGTATGTACGTGGATCTCTTAGTATACTGCTTTGATTTTATGATTTTAGACCGCGTTTGTCTCGAATAAACTGTGAAAATGTTCAGGTTGATTGTTTAAGAGCTGAATATCCAACGTATTTCACTTTAAGAGTCATCTAATTCTAGTTTGGGCCTGATAATGAAGGAAAACCGGGAAAATTCTAAGGGAGAAGATGTTTGGCAGCAAAAACGATTGTCCTTGATCTTTCATTCCGAGGTTGTAAAAAGTCATTAACTTGCTGAAAATTCCAAACAAGTTGTCTGTTGTCTTGAATGCAATAGTTTTTTCAGCTGATCTGAAGACAAGAAATCTTGAACTGATAGATCTATGTGCTAGAAGAGGTATAATCAACATAGGCGATGTTTGATTTTTGATCTTCGTTTCCAGTGCAGTCTTCATGGCGACTCAAGCGATGTCAGGAAATGAGAGAAATTGACCCTTGAGTCCGAGTAGTAATGTTCAAAGTGTAAAATTCATGAAAACGTTCTAATTTTACTTTGATTTTTTTTCAGTCCTCGAGGATTCATAAAAGTGGCCATGAAAATGTTTCACAAAAGGTGCGGTTTTAGTTGAATGGTAATGTCACAGGATTTTTTACGCTGACTCAGTGCAAAAGTTGGAATAATGGCGTGCGTTTTTATCATAACTCGAACTCATAAGTCTGAAGGTGACAATTACAATGCGCTAGCTTAAGCATTAAAGAAAGTAAGCACATACCGAAAGCTGCTATGTGAACGTAAACTTCGCAGACGTGTCGCACCCAATGGCTTGAGCCTCCTTCCTGCGTCTAAGATACTTACTTAAAGACTGAACAGACTATCGGACAAGCATTGAAATAAATAGGTCTCCTCTGATTGACAAATAAGTAAACACTTAACAACAGAATCCTGACAATGTATATCAACTTTCAACCTTGGCTTAAAATATCCTAATTAGGATGGAGAGAGGCAATCACCGAAATATAGTCCACAAGGAGCAGGAGGGTGTTGACAATGAAGGGGTATAGGGGTGTAGGAAGAGCCCCCTGAAAATGATTACATACTTGTATATGTTAGTAAACTATATACAAAAGGAAACATTCGGCCTCCCTCATGTCTTAACAAACTTGAATAGAAGTCCTTCATAAAAGGCTCTCCTGGCCACCAAGTCAACCTACTCTCGTTCCTTCGAAAAACCTGTCTTTTTGCATGTGCAAAAAAAAACAAAATGAGCTTGGCTGTTTTCTGCACCACAAAAGTGGTCCCCCGTTGGTCATTATTTATAACCACAGGAAGAAAAAGCTAGAATATAGCTAGTCAGGCAATATGAACCAAGTTGCATGACGTTAGTAAAGGTTTTTGTTATGAATTTTTCAACCCTGGGCAATCGTCACGAATACAGCTGATACAGCCAAAAGTGGATAATATTATTGTGAGGAATAATATTTGTTGCTAATGTTTATAAGCAAAACAAAAAAATGTCGGTCCCTGTAGCTAGGTACAAGTTTGCTAGCGATACGAGAAGCCAGATTTACGCTAAGTCAATAATAGCTGCTTACTATAAGTCCTGGTATCTCTTTAAAGTTTTTTAGCACCATTAAAGGGAATCAAATCAAATACCATTAATAGTATTACAAAATTCAAGCAAGTTTGGGCGACATGGAGTGAGAGTCCTGGAGAGTAGGGGCGAGGGGGGAGGGGGGGGGGGGGGTGGCGGTTTTTTTTTTTTTGGGTTTTTTTTTCGGGTGGGGGCCGGGGGGTTTTTTTGATTGCCAAAAAAAGATTTTTTTTGCTTTAACCCCTTGTGCGGGTTACAATTGTTTTACATTTTTTCAGTAATGTTTCTTTGTGTTTTTAAAAAAGGAAGGTAGGGGGGGGGGGGGGGGGGGTGGGGGGGGGGGGGGGGGGGGGGGGGGGGGGGGGGGGGGGGGGGGTTGCAGTTTTTATATTCTTTGGTTCTGTTTCTCAGCTGGAGACCGAGGAGTTCTCTAGATAGCCAAAAAAGTATTTCTATGCATTTAACCGCTGATGCGGTTTACACTTGATTGACATGTTATCAGTAGTGTTCCCTTGAGTTTCAACAAAATCATGCGTGGCTTCAATGGTTTGAAACTTGCCTGCATTTTGATAAGAAGTGGCTCGAAAATACTTTTATTTACGATTTCTATTAATTTTGTTCACACCTATAGGAGATGATTTATCTCGTATAGTTCAATGTCCATTCTTTTTTAAATCAGCTAGTGCACCAAAATTTCAGCGTCATTTGCAAGAAAAGTTGAAAAAACTGTTGTGATACTGCGGGCCCTTTCAAGCTTTGTTTATATTATGAGGGTTGGAGATATAAGCACGTACATGCATGAAATCGATCGCAAAAAAAAATCATTTGTTAAAAATATATGTCAGTAGATGAATGACAGTATTAGCCTTTTCACCCCTCAAAAAAACAAAACAAAATTAAAAGCCAAGTATAGGAAATGATTAGCGAAGCAATTACATTCTCAACGATATTTTGGTAATCCGGAATAAACTTTGGTATCACTATATGATACTTCAGTTTATCTCTATATATTATTTCTAGGTGAAAGGCAAGGGAAAATCGAAGTGTTCCCCCCCTCTCCCCCCTTTTCGACAGCTAATCAGTGTGTGGAGTCTGTCTTGTTCTCGGAGTCACCTTGGCTTCTGGAGACAAGGGCCAACACAACAAAGTGAGCCCGACTTAAAAGAAGCTAAAATGATCTAAAATAGCAACAGCGAGAGACAAGGCCAACATAACAAAGTAAGCCTAACTTACCTAGTGGACATAAGTAGAGTTAAATTAAGTAGCTACAGCAAGAGAGACA